CACCATACCACACAAGAAACCAACGAGTCACTATTTACCATACATGGAGGCAAAGGAGATCAAGCTGCAAAGACTCCTTCCTTATTCACTTATGCACAATACATTTTGAAACTTCTTAAAATTAACATAGGCACTCCAAGGAGTCATGGATTCGCACCCAAACTTTCACGACTCAAGGCATCTCTCTACTTGCCTTATTTTGCCAATTTGGTTCATAAAGTCCCAACGGCTAGTGTATTTAATTTTGGGTGATTTTCTTCGGGAGAGAATCATTGATTGGAACATCATCAAAAACTCTCAACTGGGATAGATGATCTGCTACTCCATTCTATATTCCTTTCTTATCCTTGATCTCCAAATCAAACTCTTGGAACGACTAAATCCATCTCAACAATCTTCACTTAGCATTTTTCTTGGCCAAACGGTGTCTTATGCCGCATGATTCATGTGAACATCCACCTTAGAATCAACCAAGTAGGATCTGAACTTCTCAAAAGCTAAGACTATAGCGAAAAGCTCTATTTTAGTCGTGGCATACTTGGCTTGAGCGTCATCTAAAGTTCTTCTAGCATAGTAAATGACGTGAAGCTTCTTATATTTTCTTTGACTAAGCACCACTCAAACCGGAAAGTCACTCGCATCGCACATAATCTCAAAAGCTATAACACTACGAAAATTCTTACAAAATAAATGGTAGGAAGATTTTTCTACCCAAAAACTATGCATTTACGACAAAAACACAAAGGGGTAGGAAAAAGGAAGAGCATTAATTACGAGAATTAGTGTAAGAAAGTGGAAGGAATATTTCCTACTAATTTCTTTGAAATAATAATTTTGTAGGAAATGTTGAAGGAAGCGTAAAGGAATGTTGAAGGAAATAACGCATAGAGAATTTGGTAGGAATATTTCTTTGAAGGAAATAAGAAGGAAATTAATTTGTAGGAAATTAGTAGGTTACTATTTGGTGCTAGTGGACACGGACGTTGATAACAAGTTGATAATCTAGTGTGATGGGTAAGTTGATAATTCAGTGCAAGTTGATAATTAAGTGCGGTTGGTGGAATAATATATATTTTGGTAGGAAATGTGTAAGAAACATATATTTTTGTAGCTATATAAATACTCAAACGTTTCTTATGATAATCACAACTCTCGTTTACACATCTCTCTCATACATATTGCCTTACGAGTTGAGGTTTTCTTAAAGAAAGTTGTGAAAAAGAAAAATTTTGTTATTTCAGAAAAATTTACTTTTTGTATTTGAAAATAAAATTTTCTAATATTTCCTATGAAAAAATTTTCAGTCATAAACAGACATGCTGACGAGGGATTATGGAGCAGGACTTACCGAATTCATGCACTTTGCTATGAATCAAGAAAGCTGCATGATAAATAATAAAAAAATTTATCGACAAGGATGTAGTTTGGTGTCATAACTACAGAGATGGGATAATGGCGAGTTACAAAATATGGTTTTATCATGGGAAAAAGATGCATTCCATGTTGGTAGTTCTAGTGGAAATGCATCAGAGAGGGTAGAAAAATCTATGATTAGAGAACAGGAGGTAGGTACAACTCAAATGGTTCATGATGCTTATAAGGAAAATATCAATACATATCAGAACTTGAGAATACTATTGAAGAACCAAATGTAGAAGCTAGAAAGTTTTATGATATGCTAGATTCTTCGAAGAGTAAGTTATATGAAGGTTGTAAGGAAGGTCTTTCTCCTTTATTTGCTGCAATTAGAATGATGAATAAAAAGACGGATTACAATTTACCTGAAGATTGTGTAGATGCTTGGGCAGATTTTGTAAAAGAAATATTGCCCGAAGAAAACATCTCACCAGCTTCTTATACTGAAATTGTAAAGCTTGTTTATGGTCTTGGTTTGCCTTATCAAATTATCGATATTTGTATCGACAACTATATGATTTACTGGCAGTCAGACGCGGACTACTTAGCTTGTCGGTTTTGTGGGAAGCCTTGGTTTCAAAATACTGGTGGAAGGTCTCGAGTGCCATTTAAACATATACGGTATTTACCAATAGGAGATCGGTTGAAGCGGTTATATCAACAAACCTGCACGGCTGGAGCTATGAGATGGCACCACGAGCATTTAAACCCTTAAGGTCAGATTGCGCATCCCTTAGACGCTAAGGCATGGAAACATTTTCAAAAAATGTATCCAAGTTTTGCAGAAGAAATCAGAAAAGTGTAGATGGGACTATGTACAGATGGTTTCAACCCCTTTGCAAAGCATGGACGACAATATTCTTTGTGGCCAGTTATTCTAACACCTTACAATCTGCTTCCATCTTTGTGTATGAAACAAGAGTTTCAATTTCTCTCATTAATTGTTCCTAGTCCAGAACACTCAAAGAGATCCCTAGATGTCTTCTTAAAACCTTTGATTCATGAGTTACAAGTCTTGTGGGAGCACGGAGTTCGAGCTTATAATGTCTCATGGCAACAAAATTTTACGATGCGAGTTGTCGTATTGGAAAGATCTCCTGTTAAAACACAATCTTGATGTCATGCACACTAAGAAGAATTTCTTCGACAACTTAATCAATACTGTTTTAAATGTCCTAGGAAAGACAAAAGACAATATGAAGTCAATAATAGAATTACCTCTGGTATGTTACCATCCTCATCTACATGTCTTACCTAACAGTAAAGGTCTAATCCCAAAATTCAGATTGAATGCAGAAGGTAAGGATGCATTTTTTAGGTGGAATGTCCATAAAGTAAAATTTCCTGACGGAAATGCTTATAACCTACGAAATTGTGTTGACAACCAAGAAGGTTGTTTATCAGAGATGAAGAGTCATGATTGGCATGTGTTTATGCAACGCTTACTTTCATTTGCATTTCTTAAGCTCCTCCCAAAAAATGAATATGAAACTATCGTAGATACAAATAAATAATCGTATTCATTATCATTTTTCTAAATAAAATATATTAACATATATAAATATATTTTCCCATAATTACTTGTAAGAATTAGTGCTTTCTTTCGACACCTATGCGCAAGATCACTTACGGAAGATGGCAGTAGACGATTATCGGATAACATACCCTTTCTTATATGAAACTTGGAGAGAATATTCTCACCGTCATTATTTGATGTAATGGAGCATCTTTCAATTCCCCTTCCTAAGGTGGCAGATATGGGGGTCTAGTTCAATATCGGTGGATATACCCATTCGAAAGATTCAGGTTCCATCTGAAAAAACATGTGAAGAATTTAAGCAAAGTCGAAGGTTCGATTATCGCACAAAGCATCAATGGATAAATATCAAATTTGGCTGCCCATTATTTTCCCGAAGTGTTCAAACAAAAAGCAGATAACCTACCCGTTTTGATGATAAAGGACAAAAACCCCAATATATAACTTTTGTTCCAGATATGTTTACACAAATCGGCCAGTTAAGTGGGAAACGAAGACAAAGGTTTCTTACAAAAGGAGTATAAAAACACTTGCATGCCTACATTTTTCTTAACTATGAGGACTTGTTGACATATGAAAGGTATATTTACCTGATTTCAATTTAATTTATATTTAGTTTTCAAAACTTGTCATCATTACCTACACTATTTTTTGAACATGATGTATCTCGAGCAATTACGAACAGCTTACCCATATTATGATGACGAGAATCTTATTAGGATAAAACAAACTGAATTTCTACCTTGGATGAAATTAAATGTGAGTAAATTTTTACTAACTGTTGATGATCATATTACTTCCATTAACAATGTTAAATACAGGTACAATCATGCAACAATAGAGGTGAACGCGTATCCACTTGGTTATAAGAGCTGGTAGATGATCCAATGTCACTTACAAAATTCACAAGCTTACTACACCCGTCGCTATGCATTCAAGGTTTTTAAGGAGAGTAAAAATAGGAAAACGATAAAATACGAAGTTTTAAAGGAGATTTTGGAGATATAGTTCACTGGTGTTACTAATATTAAATGCATAGCTTTTATGTGTGATTGGTACGATCCATCTTTCGAACGGAGAGTTTGTGTTAAAAAATTTAGAGTAATTTCTGTAAAAATGTCAAGGAAACTTGATAGGTATGATACTTTCATCCTAGCATCACAAGGAGACCAAGTGTGTTACATTCCATATCCTCGCGTTACCAAAAAGCAAGATTCTTGGGTTATGGTTACACAAATAAGTCTTAGAGGTAGCGTACATGGAGTTATAGAAATCAGTCTTTTACAACAGACATTTTTGGGAACATCCATTATGTTGAACTTATTCATGATGAAACTTTTGACGGCCAATTAGAAGAAGAGACAATCATTGATGATATTTTGAATTTTTCTGATGAAGAGTTTGGAGAGTTTGAAGAAGAGTCAAATTCTGTATCTTCTAGATCATACTCTGACACGGAATAATAAATATATAGTTCTAAAATCATATCCTCGATTTGTTTATAAAGAACTAATTTGTATCATATTTTTTATTCGGCCTATAATTATAATTGTACTTACTCATTAATTCGTATCAATTGTATAAGACAATAAAAATTAATTTGTATCATATTTATTTTAAAAATATATTTTTTATAAACTATTAAACACAAAATAATTAATTATGATTTGTACTTATTTATTAATTTGTATCAATTGTATAAGACGATAAAAATTAATTTGTATCATAACTTTTTTAAAAAAATACTTTTTATAAATTACTAAACACAATAAATAATTATAGTTTGTTTATAAATTGTTTAAAAATAACTAATGATAAAGATATTTTTTATTTTACTTAGCACAAAATAGAAGACTTATAAGAAATAAAGAATTTGGGCCTCAAACAGCTGTTGGGCCTCCAGAATTTTATTTGATCCATTAAAACAAAAGAAAAAAACTCTAAACACTCTAACTCTTTTACATCTCTTCCGCCGTCTAAAAACCACGATCTCTTCCACCTACACTCGGCTACTTCTCTCTGCTTCTCTTCTCTGGATCGACACCTTCTCTTGCCAAGGTCATGACTTCTTCTCCTAGCGCCACAACAAATGACTGCATCGCAGGTTCCTTCCTCTTCTCACCTCTTCTCACCCTCTAACTCTCTGCTTCTTCTTTGTATGTAACTGCAATCTGGTCCAAAATCTCTACACTCTACTTCACAAAATCGTCCAACTCAATACATCTATAGAAATGTCAAAGGAGGAGAGAAGAGTTCTCTTGTACTCATGTACCACCTTTCCAATTATCAGTAAGTTACTATCAATTCTCTGTTTTGGTAGAACCGATAATAGGTTTTTGATTCTACTTAGGTTCATTTCTGATTTTTTTTTTGTGATTTTCCGGTTATTGTTCGATTGTGTGTTCTGCATGTCCATGTGTGTTCAATACAGTGTATGTTCTGTCATCTAAATGTGTCTTCTCTCCGTCTTACCTTTGTCAAATGTGTTAAGTCCAGAACAAATTAGAAATCGACAACATGTGTTATGTCAATGTGTAATCGAGCAATGTTGTTATGTTATTTTATGGTATTCTATAAATTTTATAATTTCAGAAATGTCTACTCCCTCTTAATATCACTTTTGTCACAATAAGTAGGTATAAGGAGATAAGATTTCATAAGTTTCCAATACATTATGTTTAACTCCTTCCTTAACTGATTTGTGATGAGGACATCCAAACCACATCATACGAGAATCAAACTAGACCAGCCGGTTCGAGCCTCAAACCAACCATACCAGACAAAAATGAAGGATTCTTGCCCAAATGGAGTTCCGATGAAGCGCAAGGCCTAGGGTTGATTATTCATCATAAAATCACCCCTAAGAAGACTAATGGTTCAGGAGAAATCAGAAATCAACGGACCAGATTGAAGACTCTCCACGACGACCCATCCGGACATTACCATGTTCAGTTCCACCGACCTTATGAAGACGTTTCTCGACCAACAATGAGTATTCACTCGAAAAGTGACCATTTCATGAAGATCTATCGAGCCAGAATTGAAGAAGAACGATCCGAAATCATAATCGTTCATGAAGACCCGTTTCCACCATACCACGAGCAAGGGTATGGAACCGCCGGCCAAACCACACGTCCATTCCAGTTGGGATTTAATATCCATCCCAAATATGGATATTTTAAAAGGAATGAACGAGCAACATCAGTCCCCCATCGAGGTATTTTGAGAGATGGCCATGAGAGCATCCTCGGACACGTTCATTGGCGAGCTAAGCCGCAGTTTGGAGAATTAACTCGTCCATTTGATCTCGGCTTCATTATTCACCATCAAATCAACTATTTGGAGCATATTGATCGAGCCAAAATACCCCTGGTTCGAATTTGTTTAGTACTTGCGCATTTGGCCTTACCCGAGGGCCATGTGTTACCAAAAATGGAACTTTCCTTATTTGGTTTCTTCGAGGATTATGTTTGGCGACCTGGAGAACTTATTTATCATCTAGAGACAGTCCAAGATGCCACACCATGCACCAGCATCCAGAGGATTAGGCGAATCCTCTTGCACCTCTACTTTCCTATTCTAGAAGCATTCACACTTGGAGCTTTAAATCTACAACGGCTCTTTCTCTATCAAAGCTGCTGCATTTTAAAGGCACTAAAACCATTCCAGAGAGTCCCAAGATGTTGCACCTATCTTCCCAAGCTCTCAAGATACAAGCTAGAAGACATTCCTTATTTGGCCGATTTTCTCATAAAGTCACAAACGGCTCTATGCTTTAAATTTTGCGATTCTTTTCTTGTTTTAGCTTATTAGGACCGTTGTTTATGAGCCTATAAAATCTCAGCTTTGTTTTCAATGTAAAACACCCTTGATCATTGAAATTAAAAGAAAGCGTTTTCTTCTTTATAAAGTTCGAGTAACTTTGTGTTTGTTTGTTCTTTAGATTTAAGTGTGTGATTCACTATAGTCTATTGAAGCTGCGAATTAAGAGTGTGTTGAATGATTCATCCCTCTTGTTCGTCCATTGATTGAGCGAGTCAATCACGTCTATCCATCGATCCATCGATCGATTCTTCTTTGTTCGTGGTTCCATCGAGAGAGAGCGAAGGCCAACTCGATAAACCCTTTATGTACATCCGTTAGCCCTTCGGAGCGTATATCAATTTGTAACAATAATTTCTAGCCGCGTGTGCGCCAAGACTTTCTACAACACATTGTAGAGCACCAACGTGGATATGATTTAACTTGTCCTAACTACTGTTTGGATGACTTACAGAGGTTTCAGCGGCACGCACGCTTTCACCCCACATCAAATAGAAGTGAAGGACTCGAATCTAATTAACCGAAGCAGGCAAGCGAAGAATCTATAGTTCCTATTTTAGTGGATGTATCTGACCTTTTGCGAGCACCTAGACGGTCTCACCTCCCAGTCCTATGCCCAGACCGTGATTTTCGGTAAAAACATTTTTATGATTTTTAGGTTGTTTGTTTGTATTACATTGATGTTTAAGCTTATCAACACTTTTTTGTATTACATATATATAATTTTCTGTTCTTTTCATCGTTTTAAATATTTTTTTGTCAATTTAATAATTTATAATCGATTTAAAACTTAATTATGTAATTTATTGAATATTTAGTATTTCCTACCAAATACATTTGAAGGAATATTGGAGTGTGATCTTTTGAATGAAAGCTGAAGGAAAATTTCTAGGAAACTGGAGTGAAAAAATTTGTTGGAAATTGGAATGAATAGAGTTTTCTTAGGAAAATAGAAGGAAAGCCTTTCGAAGGAAATTGAAAATGCCAAAATTTCCTACGAAAATACCTACAAAAGTTCCTTCAACGCGTTTTGTTTTTCTTTCTCTTGAGTCTTGCATTTGTTAATAGCTATGTTTTGAGAAAAAAAAATTTGAAAATGCCAAAATTTGTTAATAGCTATGTAGCTTTGCAGTTTCATTTAATCTCTAGTTGAATCTATAACCTCCAAACTATTGTGGATTTTCAAAAACCGCGTGTATATTGTCCTTTTCAAGTGGCCAAATCTTCCACTCCCAATGCATACAATCTATGCTTCCTATCATCCCTAGTAATCCGCGTATCTCACCAATATCGAGTAGTCGTTGAAGATCTTGGGATGTCGATTTTCTTAGATACTCTTCTTCAAACAATTGTATGATTCCTTCAACAAAATGTATCAAACATGAAAATGCAGTGATTCGCAGGTATTCGTCAACTATATCAGATGCATTGCCATATGCAACCATACGAATGGCGGTTGTTGTCTATTGTAGTGCAGAGAGACCAAACCTTCTGGTAGCATCTTGTCTTTGTTGAAAGAATATTATTTCATTTGAGAGTTGATCAACAAGACAAATGAACAAGTAATTGTTTATCCTAAAACGACGTCGGAAAATATTAGGTGGGTATGTTGCATCTTTTTTGGAATAAGGATATGTCCTTGTTCACGATCTCTTTCAATATAGGCTTTTTTCTTGGTCTTGGTTGCTTCTCGAAGTACCCATTATTTTCTGATATGATCGTCAAAAGCTTAATTAAATGCATCGTTCATCATATCTTTGAGATTATTACGTGAAGAAGAAGAAGACATTTTCTAGTGTTTGGAAACAAATTTTGGAAGAAATGGGAAATTAATAAATTACAAAATTTAAGGTGAAAAAACAAAAGGAAAATATTTGTAATGTTTAAAGAAAAAGAACTTGGAATATATGAGAAAAGGAATTTCTTGTCAGAAAATTATACATGGAACCAATGTAAATAAAAAGAGAAGATAGCAAAGAGAAATAGGAAAAATTAAAATAACAAAGAGAACTTCGAATAAGTGAAAATGTCTCATACATGGTGTTATTAATGGCCTGTTCGTTTTCCTGTCGCTGGCGACAGAAACCTGCGATAGTGACCAAACGTCGTTCGTTTGATTGTCGCTAGTTTAGCGACCGGTCGCAGCGATTGTCGCCAGCGATCTGCGATTGTAAATTCACGTCCCCAATTTTTACAGCGATTGAATTCAAAAATGCGGCGACTGCTTTTAGATTTTTTTATAAAAATACTGTAATACCCTTGATATTTTTGTGAAACCTCAAAAAAAACCTAAACCTAAAATCCCAGATTATCAATTCCTCTCATCTTCTCTTCTCTCCTCTTCTTCATCTCTCCTGAAAATAGAAGAACCAATCTCTGTGATTTGATCTCTCTCTTCTCTCCTCTTCTTCGATTCTTCTATGGCGATTCAATCTCTGGTGACATAAAGCTTCTATTTTTCGTAAGCTTAAGTTTCCCATTATCTTTTCTCCCGTTCGATATGTATGGTTTTGAAAAGTTTAGTTTCATTTTGGTGAGTTATTGTTTGTTGTTATTGTGTGACCTTCTTGTTGTTAGCTATAAGAGCTTTATGGGTTTGGAAATTTTAACAAAGAAGTTTCTTGGATTGAAGCTAGGAAAGTGTACTTGGGTTTGCACATTTACTAATGGATTTGCTAATATTGGAGGGTTTGAACTATTATCAAGTTCTGTGTATAGGGTTTTAGTTTTAATTGCTGAAATAGTATTGTGTGGTAGGTTTAGTGTGATGCTCTTGTTTATGGCTTTATGATGGTTAGAACTGTTTTTGACATTTCACTGAAACACATACACAGGACACAGCAGGATAATACACACAGGTCAAGGAGAAGTGTGGTGGAACCTGTGGTATTTTCTGAAATCCATCTCGTCTAGTGCAGGTATATAAACTAGTTTTAGTCCAAACGATGTTAGTATAATATTAGATGAAGAATCTGATATTTTTTGTGAACACAGTCCCAAAACTTCCGTGACCAATCATTGTGCTGAGCTTAACATGTGTGTTCTTGATGTTGTTGAGTTTAGTAATTGTATTATTTGCCTAGCTATTTACGTCAATGATCATTATTCCACAAGGTTTGATTTTTCTTTGCTTTTCCAATGGTTTCATTTTTTATTTGTTTTTAGTTACGATTATTTTATAATGTGTATATGCATTTACTCTAGTCTTTATTTAGGAGTAAACATAAGAAGTATTAATTAGCCTCTCTTTATTGTTTCCATCTGCAGCTTGTGTGATATGTTGTTATACAATGCTATCTCTTACTTTAAGATGAACAATGATGATGTAAGTAATTTCTTTTCTTTGTTTTGTAGAAATCTATGTTTGAATTTGGTTGGTTTTTATTGAATTAAGATTTGGTCGGATGAAGAATGTCGGTATTTTCTTCAACTTTGTATAACTGAGAAAAGAATGGGCAACAGAACAAAGACTGGACTGACTTTAATTGGAAAGGCGTCTATCGCAAAGAATTTTGAAGAGAAATTCCAAAAAAGATATGGTTGGGATAAGTTTAAAAACAAGTATGATGTATGTAGAAGAGCATACAACAAGTATAAGAAGTTGCTCCATAACAGAACAAGAATGAGTTTTGGTGCTCTTGGAAGAATAAACATGAGTGATTACTGGTGGAATGAAAGAATTAAGGTAACTTCTCTTTCTCTCTGTTTCTTTTACTTATGCTTCCTTGGCTGGTTTTACTTATGGATTCTTGGCTGGTTTGCTAGTTTCGTTTATGGTTCTAACAAATGTTTAATTTTATGTGTATAGGAATGGCCAGAAGCTACGAAGTATAAGAACAAACATTTGCCCAACATGGACGTTTTTATAGATGAATTTTGTGCAGTTCATGTTACTGGAGCAGAGGGATAGAGTGCCTAACAAGGAGAAACAAGTTTAGATTCTAGAGTGGATGCAGAAAATGATGATGAAGCAGATTCAGTTGATACAAATATGGCACCACCAGTGCTAGAAACACAGTTTAGAAAGAAAGCGTAAGGAGGTTGATATAGCTACAGAGACTTCCGCTTCACGAAACACGATTCGTACACGTAAGAATGAATTAGTTGAGAAAATGTTGGAGCGTGATGATTGCTGCAGTGTGTACGTGTAGTAGAGATTCTGAATGAGTTGCCTAGACTGACAATGTGGTCGCGTTTCCACGGAGCCTCGGTTGACCATCTTCTGGCAGACGCCGCTAATCGACAGGGTTTCATCGCATTTCCTAGTATTGAGGATAAGATTAGTTATTTGGAGCATAGGACTGGAATTAACTTTGATGACCAAACCTTTTTATTTTTCTGTTGTTGGTTTTTTTTTTTTG